CGATTTTATTTATTTAGGATCTTGAATTTGAAGTGAGTTGATTTTTGATCACTTTTTTTAAAATTTTTTCATAGATCAATATACGGCATATGGATATGGTGCATCTAGTACTTTTGCATATACTCATGCTGATGACGAAGCATCTTTTTCTGTTGTTGATAATCGAACCACACATCAAAAAAAATCTACTTCATACAGAACTACTGGTGGTGCAAAAGTATATATAAGATGAATTGATTTATTTTTTTAAAAAAACAAATCAATTGATACTTTCTCTGTAAAATAATAATAGGGTCGTGGTAATATGAGAGGTCAAGGACAACGTCAATTCAGAAATGGACAATATCAAAGACTTGGTACACAAAATAGAAATGCCACCGGTGGTAAATTCACACCAGCAAATATTAGAAGGCGCTTTGGTTGGAAAGATTATGATAAAGTATTTATTTCTTTTCTAATAAATAATTTGTTTATAATTTAAAGATAAAAAAAGAAAATTTATGTAATCATATTATTGAAAAAGTTATGATTTTAATAGCCACAAAGATCAAGAGAATCTTCGGTTAATGTTGGGCCTGAATGGAAAGAACTTGAAGAAATTGAATTTATTCGGTTAACTAAACTTAATTTGGATGTAGATGATGGCGAGGATTTGTAAGTCGGAAATATTTTCAATGTTCTGTTATTTTGAAAAGTGACAATTTTCTAATATTTATGTATATGTATATGTTTAATTTAGATCTTCACATGGATTCATGTATTATTATGATAAAAGCTATGATCTGGTTAGAACCAAAACTGAAAAACCATTATTATCTAACGAGCGCATTCGATTTTTTACCACCACATCCAAAGATCCGATTATAGAACAAGTAATTATCTTATAAAATTTCTTTAATAAAATTTTTTATTAAATAATACATGTTTTTTTATTATTATAAATAGCTGGCAAAAGATAATCAAGCAACAGTTTTTGCTACGGATTCTATTCTAAGTCTTCTTATGTGTGCCCCAAGGTCTGTGTATCCATGGGACATTGTAATAAATCGAGTTGGTGACAAACTTTTCTTTGACAAAAGAAATAATGGTGTATATGGTATGCATATATATGTGTGTGTGTATATTTATGATAAAATTTTTTTCACAATATCCACATTTATAATTTTATTTATTTGTTTAAAATCATATTAGATATTATAACAGTAAATGAAAATGCAACCGATCCACCTCTTGAAACAGGTGATAAAGATAATATAAATTCTCCTAGTGCTTTAGCATTGGAAGCAACAGAAATCAATAATTTTTTTGCATTACAAGTTGTTAACGAGGTATAAAGAAATTTAACCCACTTTATAAATATAAATATAAATATAAATATTTATGAAATTATTTTGTTTAAACACTACAACAACAATAATAATAGGCTGAAAAACATGAATTTGAAAATCCTAACCCATTTATTAATTCCACGGATGAAATTGAATACATGGCACCAGGTGCATATAAATATAGACGGTTTGATCTCAGTATTAATGAAGAGGAAGATTTTGCATTGATTGTTAGAACTCAACTTGACTCAGTTGTCAAAACATCAACTGGTGATTCCTTTATCACCATAAAAGCTTTAAATGAATTTGACACACGTGCTCAAGGTGCAGGTGGTGCTTTAGATTGGCGTCAAAAATTAGATACTCAGAGTGGTGCAGTTGTTGCTACTGAAATGAAAAATAATAGTTGTAAATTGGCAAGATGGGCTGTTCAGAGTATTTTGGCAAAAGCTGATCAAATGAAATTAGGGTAACTATGATATAATAACAATATAACTCACGTTTATATAATAGGGTATTATTTTGAAATTTTCTATTTTATTTTTATAGCTATGTTTCTAGAGCAAATCCTAAAGATAATACTCGACATGTAATCTTGGGGACTCAAGTTTACAAACCACGTGATTTTGCCACTCAAATGAACTTGTCTGTTTCCAATGGATGGGGAATAGTTAGAACAATCATTGATTTATGTATGAAATTACCAGAAGGTAGATATGTATTACTTAAGGATCCTAACAAGGTAATATATATGTATTTGTATTCAATAAACTGTCATTGACAATAGTAATGTGTTGTTTCAAAATTAATATTTTACTTTTAAAATCCATATAGCCTGCAATAAGGCTATATTCTGTTCCAGTAAACTCTTTTGAGGTTGAAGATGACTCTATACAAGATGATGGTGAAGAATTAGATGAGGAAGAAGAAGATTCTTAATGCAAATAAAAGCCATGTCATGGTTTCTAAAATTGTAATTTTTTAAATTATGTGTAATTTGAAAATACATTTTCCCAAATTTGGAAAAAAAAAGAATAATATTTAATATTAAAAACCGTAATTCACGTAATTTCGTAAAGATGCTTATATGCAAATCATTTATATATACAAGGGGAATTAAATGTAGGGATATGGCGGTTTAAAAAAACCCCCGGTTTTTGGTTTAAGTTCGGTTCGGTTTTTATGAAACCAAAATCTCTATGTTTATTGGCCAGGTTATTATATCACGTGAAAATGTAATACGAAATTATTATTATATTGATTTTAATTATTATGTCGATGTAAAAGAATAGCTACCCTTTTTAGATTAGTTGAAAAATGATAAACAAGATGAGTAGGCGACATGATTATTTTTATAACTTGCCTTTTTTCCAAATTCAATCTGCCTCTTCTCCAAACAACTTTTTTGTTCTCAAATTGATTATCATTTTAAAGCAACACACCATTATTATTATTATTACTATACAAACAATTCAAAATGGTTTGTTATTTCGAGTTGAGACATATGGAAGCAACACAATTAAAAATAACTATTGTTATTACTATGTTGCATTCAATTCGCCTCTTCTCCAAACAACTATTTTGTTGGTTTTTTTTCAAATTGATTATCATTTTAATGTGCAATACAAAACAAAACTACTTATTGAAGATGAGCAACAATATTACTATTATACAATTTAAAATGATTTATTTTTTCGAATTGAGAAATGTGGAAGCAATATATTCAAAAATAACCACTTCTATTACTATGTTGCATTCAATTTGACTCTTCTCCAAACAACTTATTTTGTTGTTGTTTTTTTCCATTTTAAGCAGCATATCATTACTACTATTATTATATATACAGCCTAAGATGATTATTTTTGAATGAAAATGATTTATTTTTTTTTCAAGCTCATTTAGGAAACATAATTAAAAATATACTATTATATGATACAATTGTTCATTCTATCCACCAAATAATTCAATTTGTTGTTATAGAAATATGTTGTATATATACAAAGAATGATCTGCATGTATAATCTATAAAAAGTTTGTGCTGAACCGAAACCGAACCGAACCACCCCTACTACTACTAATAAATGACAATCCGCATAAAGCTATACCCATATGAAAGTTTACAATATTTTCCATATTTTCAACCGTTCATCAAGTTTATAAAGGTGATAATAGATAAAATCTTAGTTTTGAAGTGAAAGGTAATGCTGTTTTAGTTAGTAACTATAGCTTTACATAGAGAGCTTCTATCAATATATGGGAGGTTTCATTAGAAAGTTATAATGACAGTTTTATTTTAGATTAATAATGATGCTTGAATTTGTTATAAAAATAACAAGACCCAATTAGTCACACATATCAGAATTTCTATTTTACATGACTGTTTAAGAAATAACGAAGGGCAAGAAGGATCATTCATTTCTTTACAACCAGATTTTCTTGCCAAAGATCATTTTTTACCCCAAGTTCCATTGTGAGCTTAACTATATTGAAAGATATGCTCGATTAAAATTGAATTATTCTGAACTGGTTTGTAATTAGTAATAGAATCGATCAGTTGATGTAATTAAAATAAGATACATATGCAGTTGGGAAAATATTAATTGTACATTTTTAACGCAATCACGTGTAATATTTGACACACCTTTGAAGCAAAAATATTGGCCCATATTAATATTAATATTAATATGTATGTATGTATAAAATTCAATAATAATAATAATAATAAAATTAAAGCTAAAATGCCTCATACTTCAGAGAATTTTAAAATCATTACGTTTAATTCTAAGACTGGTCGCAAAAGAAAGAATAAAGAAACGGAAATTTACAATTCGGAAAATTCCACAGAGTAACAGCAACGGGGTTTTTTTATTACTATCCACCATTTAGTAAATTTTAAAAAATATTTTTTAATATATATCTTATATATATAACTCTTTAAATAGTACTACAACTTCTAGTAAACAAAAAAAATCCCAAAAACCACTTGAAACTGATGATGTCACATTTCCAACTAACAATTCTGAAGGTAAATAAATATTTAATTATGGAAAGATTTCTTTATACACATATGTACATATACATATAAATAGATCAGAATTTAAATAAATCTTTATTTATATAAAATTAGATCAAAAACCTTCATCATCCTCGTTACAAACTGATCAAGATACATTAATAAATAGTAAAAGTAAAAATATTGATGGTAACGGTAAAAAACGTCCTCGTAAATGGGCACGTAGAAAAGTTGTTATCAAAACTACAGGAGGCGAGATTGCCGTACCTGTTTGGTATTCTAGTAAGCATTTACTCATATTATTTATTTATTTATTTACTGTTTCTAATCATTTTTTATTTTATAAAGCTGAACCCAAACAATTATCAGATTCTGCAACTGGAGTTTCTTTGTAATCATAATCACATTAATAATATATATTACTATTAATTAATAACAAATGTAAATATAATAATTGATTAATTGATTAATTTGATTTTTTTTTTTGAAAATTATTTATTATTTATTATTAATTAATTCTAATTGTAAAAACATAATATAATTATAAATATAAGTATTTAAAATAATAAATATTTTTATAATAAAAATATAAGACTACTAAACTAATAAACAATTGTTCTAGTATTATAAAAATTTACAAGTGTTCGCCACCACTGCTATTACCATGGCTTCCATCTAAGGACATTCTATGCATCATCATTGTATTGTTACAAACACTACTACTGCTACTATTATTACTAACATTATTACTTTCACCATTATTATTATGTGACAAAATGTTGTTTTTATTAGTTGTACTAGGTATATTATTATAAATATTAGATGATGGATTTGAGACATTAGCAACAACGCCATCAACATCATTACCACCAACGCCATTATTATTATTATCATCAAGAAGATTAAACACAACTCTTGATTTCATGCTCCATTCAGAAAGAAATTTACAAACATCCATTTCATGTTTTCTATTTGATGTCACTTGATTTGCATGGTCAGATAGTTTTTGTTGTTTTTGATATATTTCTTTATGAACCAATGATTAAAGTTAAAATCAATCAATCAAATTACCAGAAATTCACTTATTTTATTATTTATTATTTAGAATACTAATTACCTTCCAACAAACGACCAGAAATTAAACATCCAATATTATTTCTGGCATTTTTTGATAAAGTATATGATGAAGTAAGCATTTTTTCTGCCTGATCATTTTGGGTTACCTTGAATAATGTTCCTAAAACCGATAATGTTAGAGCTTTAAGTTGATTGTTGAACAACGAAGTGGAAATTTTAAGTGACTCTAATAAAGACTCTCTTCAATGAGAAATAAATAAATAATGAATTATTATATTTATATATGTATATACGTATATATAATTAAATACCTTGTCTTTTCAATATCGTCGCAGGCCAATGCATTTAAAAAATGCATTGCAGCTTTAAGACCATCAATGTTGTTTGTTTGAAATATATCTTCTTGTTCGATTTCTTTAAGTATTGTATAAATCTTTTATTAACAATATATATTTAATAAAATAATCGATTAATAAATAAATTGATTAAATGATTGAATTAACAGAATAAATAAAAACAAATACTTCTTCTTGTAATTCTTCATGATTTTGAGTTGTATTACCGAATACCATTAATGTACGATTAATCTTTGATAATACTCTTAGTTCTTTGTTATTTGAAAGCTAATAAAAAAAAATATATAAAAAGATAATAGGTCTTATAATTATTAACATAATAATAATGACGACGACGACGACAATAATGTTGATAAGTAACCTTTTCGGCAGCTTTGTAAAATTCAGTAGCAATAATAGGCTTTCCTATAAATTGATTTATCATTCCGAGTGCGATTATTATATTAATATGGAATTGTGGCCACAGATTATGTATATTCGACCAATTCATTAATTGTGCAAGTGTCTATAATTAATATAAGTGTAAATTAGAAATTAGAGGTTTTTAATTAAAACAATAATAAATTCTTTTATTCATCATCACCTTTTCTGCCTCAGTAAATTCTGATCTTAATAAATATACGTCAATCAAGTATTGTAACATGTAAGCTTTTAGATTAATGTAAAAATTTTTTGATTTGATGATTTCTTGAAGTGATAAACCATTTTCTTTTTAAAAAAAAAGTTCTTTTTAAATTAAATTACTTTTTAATCACACCAAAAAATCCAATCCATAAAATACAAATAGTAAAATACCATTTGAATTAATTCTTTCTAAAATAAACGAATATTGAATTGATCAATCAATATTTTACATTAACATATAAAATAAAAAATAAAAAAAAATAAAAATAATTACGTTCTACAATCTTCAACCCTTCTGTCAAAAACATTGTGGATTTCATGGTTGCAGTATCACCTCGATTACATATTCCTGAAATTAAAAATGTTAAGGCATAAATTTGTGAATTTGACAGCCAACAAATCTTTAATGGCAAGTTTTGAGAAGTTGTAGAACTTTTGTCGTTATTGTTTGGATAAGAAAGGCTCAATGAAGACTCGGAAACTGGAGAAATATGTATCTAATAAATATATAGTATAAACGGAAAGAATTGAAAAAAATAATAAAATAATAATTAATTGATATATAGATGGAAGAAATTTAATTGAGCCATGGTTAGATTTGAATACTACCATTTATTAAGCATAAAAAAGTCACCAAGAAAAAACATTTTGTAAGAAAATATATTTACTGTAGTTTCTCCTGTTGATCCATCCACATTAATATCATTCAAAGAATTACTATCCAAAATATGGTGAACTTCTGATAATCTTTCTGCAGCTAATTTCATATTACCAGTATGCATATGATAAGTAATATATAATAGTGAAAAGTGTAAATAAAGATGACGATTTGAGATAGGAAATCTGTTATAAGTTTGCGAAGATTGAATTAATGATGAAGGGAAATAAACAGTTTGAAGCTCATCCAATGAACGTTGAGCCAATGTATAATTTTGACTTGTGAAAGCATATTGTGCTATTAGAATTAATACACAAGCCTTATCAAAAAAATTTTTTATTGTAAATATATTTTATTTTATAATTATAATTATTTTTGCGTGTATGTAAATATATACCTTCATTTCAACATCTGCTCTTTGATCAGCTAACGAACAAACTTGTCTCAATACATTCATACATCCATCAAAATCTTTTTCAGAATAATGTAAATTTGCTCGTTTCAATTGAAAATGATAATACCAAGGAGGCATATTATTTCTATTGAAAATATTTAATCAAAAAAAGGCAAATATATTAGTTCCCTGTAAAGGTTGATTTATGGTTGAAGGGGTCACGACCCCCGCTTGAAATTATTGATTTTCTAGAAACTAGATACTATTTATAATAATAATTAATATGCAATAAAAATTCACCCACTCCATTGCTTCAATTGCACTAGATTTCAAAAGATTTTTTGCTGAATTACTATTATTATTACTTTTAAAAATGTCGCATCGAAGATCAATCATCTTAAACTTTAATTCCCTAAAATCATCTTGCTATTATGTTTATTAGAAAAATCAGTTTAGAATCGTACATATTAAAAAAATGTAATGATAATAAAATCATTTACCGTTTGAGCAATTTGGATCTTAATATTAAAAATAAAATAAAACGTTATTAATATAAAACATTTAAGAAAAAAATTTTTAATAATTAAAAAATTAATATGGATGCATGTATAAATGCATTTTTAAATGTTTACTGTGATATAATGAATATACCTTATTTTGTTATTAATAGATATATGAAATTATATACTCACTCCCTTTTGCAAATGATTTTCAGCTTCATGAATGTTTTCAGTGAATAGAAAAAGTATTTGACTCAACCTGAAACGTGTTTTCAATTCAACAAGTGGTTTTTCATGCTTGTCATTATTATTATTATCAACATTACTTTCAAGATAGTTTAATAAAGCCTCTAAACATTTTATTGCCGCTAATAAATATCTTTTTTGATCAGAAGATATTGCCACAGGTTTATTGTTTCCATTCGTCAAATTTGAATTATTATGTGAAGTAGATGATTCAGCTGTAATTGGTTTTTTAGCTGCTTCAGAAAGATACTTTTCGGCAAAAAACCACAATAATTGATATTGAGGAAATTGTTGATATAGAGATGATGGTGGTTGTTGAAGTTGTTGTTGTTGTTGCTGCTGCTGATGATGATGATGCAATAATTGTTGTTGTTGTTGTTGGCGTTGTTTTTCCTTTTGTTGTTGCTGCTGCTCATGCTGCCTTTGCTCCTCTTGTTGCTGTTGCTTTAACAGAATTAGTTTTTGTTCTTCTTGTTGTCGCTTTAGCAGCATCTGTTGTTGTTGCTCACGCTGTCTTTGTTCCTCCTGCTGTTTCTTTAGAAGGAGCTGTTGTTGTTCGCGTTGTTTTTGTTCTTCCTGTTGTTTTTTTAACAGCTGTTGACGTTGCTGTTCTTCCTGCTGTTTCTTTAGCAGCAGTTGTCGTTGTTGCTCCTCCTGCTGTTGCTTCAGAAATAGTAGATGTTGTTGCTGACGCTGTTGTTCTTCCTGTTGTTTTTTTAACAGCTGCTGACGTTGCTGTTCTTCCTGCTGTTTCTTCAGAAGTAGCTGTTGTTGCTGTTCGCGCTGTTTTTGCTCCTCCTGTTGTTTCTTCAGAAGTAGCTGATTCTGTTGTTTTAGAAGCAAAAATTGTTGTTGTTGTTGTTGTTGTTGTTGTTGTTGTTGTTGTTGTTGTTGTTGTTGTTGTTGTTGTTGTTGTTGTTGT